GGTAATCCTGTTGATTACTCTATCTTAAGAGTTTTTGGATGTCCTGCTTATGCTCATTCCAGTACGGGTAAATTAAACCCGAGAGCTGTCAAATGCATTTTCCTTGGTTATGCCTCTGAGTCAAAAGGGTATCGTCTATGGTCTCCTGATTCTCAGAAAATCATTCTGAGTCGAGATATCACTTTTGACGAAAATGCACTACTTTCTTCTGAAAAAGATTCCAGTACAGGTGAGACGCAGAGTACTGGTGATAAGGTGGAGTTTGAGTTCAGGCCTAATGATAGTATTACTACCACTAATGGTAATACTAAAGATGATGCATCTACAAGTACCGCACCTCTCGTCGAGCCACAGCGAGAGTACTCTATTGCCCAAGATCGGCCTAGGAGGACAATTAAAAAACCTGCTAGGTACGCTAGTGACGATGAAACCCACTTGGTTGCTTATGCGCTTTCAGTTGCACAGGAGGTTGATGGTGATCCATCCTGCTATTCTGAGGCTATTTCCTGTGCCAACTCGTCCAAGTGGTTGGTTGCTATGCAAGAAGAGATGGAAAGTCTCCATAAGAATGAGACTTGGGAGCTGGTAGAATTGCCGAAAGGCAAACGCCCATTGAGCTGTAAATGGATTTACAAAAAGAAAGAAGGCATTCCTGGGGTTGAGAAAGCACGGTGGAAGGCACGGTTAGTTGTTCGAGGTTTTGATCAACGTGAAGGTATTGACTTTAACGAGATTTTTTCTCCAGTTGTTCGTCATACTTCTATACGTGTTCTACTTGCTTTTGTTGCTCTTTTTGATTTGGAGTTGGAGCAACTTGATGTAAAGACTGCTTTCCTACATGGAGAGCTTGATGAAGAACTGTACATGTACCAACCTGAGGGATTTGAAGTTCCTGGGAAGGAACATTGTGTCTGCCGTCTACAAAAATCACTTTATGGGCTAAAGCAAGCTCCAAGGCAGTGGTATAAGCGGTTTGATGCATGTATGTTAGGGCAAGGATTCTCAAGAAGTCAGTATGATAGCTGTGTCTATTTTAAAGAATTTTCTAATGGGTCTTTTGTCTATTTGCTGCTTTATGTTGATGATATGCTCATTGCTTCCCCTGATATGTCTCTGGTTGATGACTTGAAGTCTCAACTAAGCAATGAGTTTGAGATGAAAGACCTTGGTGCAGCAAAGAAGATTCTTGGCATGGAGATTCACAGGGATCGTCAAGCGGGTAAACTTTATCTATCCCAGAAAAAGTATGTTGAGAAGGTGCTTGATCGATTCAATATGTCCAATTGTAAACTTGTGTCTACTCCACTTGGTGCACATTTTAAGGTATCATCTGGTTCATGCCCTAAGTCTGATGTTGATGTGGCTTATATGTCAAAAGTTCCTTACTCTAGTGCTGTTGGAAGTCTTATGTATGCTATGGTATGCACTAGACCTGATTTGGCTCATGCTGTAAGTGTTGTGAGTCGTTACATGCATAACCCTGGTAAGGAACATTGGAACGCCGTTAAATGGATTCTACGGTACCTAAAGGGTACTTCGTCTTTGGGCTTGGTTTTTGATCGAAATTCTTCTGCATCTACTGACATTATGGGCTTTGTAGATTCTGATTATGGTGGTGATCTTGACAGACGCCGATCGCTTTCCAGTTATATTTTCACTCTTTGTAATTGTGCTATCAGTTGGAAAGCTACGCTTCAGTCTATTGCTGCGTTATCTACGACTGAGGCGGAATATATTGCAGCCACAGAGGGTGTCAAAGAAGCTACTTGGCTACGAGGTTTGGTTATGGAACTTGGTGTTTCACAAGGTCAGACCGTTGTGTTCTCAGATAGTCAAAGTGCTATCCATCTCACCAAAAATGATACATATCATGCCAAAACCAAACACATTGATGTCAGATACCATTTTATTCGAGATGTTATAACTGCAGGAGATATAACCGTTCAGAAGATTCATACATTGGAGAATCCAGCAGATATGCTCACCAAGCCTCTACCTATTACTAAGTTCAAACAGTGTTTGAGTTTAGTCGGATGTTTCAGTTGTTAATTCTCACCGTGAATTTGATCCAAGGTGGAGATTGTTAAAATATGATAAATATTGTGGCTCAAATCCGTGGGGACCATTTCATCAACCGTCCGTCCGCATCGCCGCATGTCCTCTTCTTGCATGTTCTCCGCAAATTGCTCTCATCTTTGTGTTCACCTCTTTCCTCTCTTCTTTTGAGTGTATAAATAGGCAGTAGTGTTTTCTTTGTAGATGGCTCATTATTACATCAATCAAATTGTTCTTCTTATTTCTTTGTCCTCACGTGCATTAATATATATATATATATGTTCTCCCATTCTTAGAATTATTTTGTCATTTATATTATTTTCCTATTATTTAACTTCTATAATTCTCAATTTTCGATTCTTCGCTTCCGCATTATTCCGCTATATTCCTAACAGAGAATAACAAGGTTAGTTGCAATGGGGCATTCAAAAAAAAAAAGGTTAGTTGCAATGGGGTTCTATACTTAATGAAAGCTTGTGGTATGATCGTATGAGGTTTCTCTTTTAACATTAGATTTTACAATGTTTCAAAAATACAATTTTGGGTTATTCTTTAAGGAGTTATAAAACATTTGAATAAAAGTTATAGACAAATAGTAGTTAAAATAAACTTAAACATTGGTCAAATGGTTAAAGAAGATTAAGGAATCTCAAAGATCATTAAGTAATTTACTAGATGCTTGCATGCAACTTATGATAAACCTTTGGGAGATTGACATTAGACATATTTACAATAATTTATCTGTAATTTGACCACAAGTTATTTAATTATACATGTTAGAGGCTTGTCGCTTGAATATAGGGTTGGATGCCGTCAAGATAGGAGAATCATTTTAGAGAGCAAATGATATTTAGTTTGATACCCTCCTTGACTTAACTAGACATGCAATTAAGGCTCTCAAACTATTAAAAAAACAAAAAGAAAACAAAAAGACCCTTTTTAACTTGAAAAAAATAAAATGCAATGCAACTCATTTTACCTCTTACTATACCATAAGGTAATTGCTAAGTTGGATGCCACTTTATGTGTTTCTGGATGATTTGGATGCCAAGTTGTTATTGATGTAGAAGTAATTAGGCTTGAAATGGAATGTCATTCCCTAAAACAAATCTATTATGTTGTTTGATAATGTCTTTATTATTCTCGGAAACATTTTTCTGTAAATGAGCTATTCCCTTCGAGAATAGTAATTTCAAGGGCCCGTAGTATTAGCCTATCTCATAAATAGCCTAAATATGTAATTTACACTTTACCCACCACCCACCCCCCTCCCCCAATTAAATCTAAAATTTGGTTAGGCTTTCTTTCTACACACACAACACTTCTTTAATACCAGGACACTTGCATCTTTTTTATGTTCAAACTCGTCAACCTTCACAAGGTATTTTTCTACACACACATATATAGGCTTATGATTCTATGAGAACACACCACACCCTGAGAGAAAACTAAGAATTAATATTAGCCTTACATCTGCAAAATTTGGGCCAATAAAATCATATTAGAAAAGAATGTGATGACATTTTTCTAAGACGATGAGAACTGAATGAGGACACACAATCTACTACATGAATGCACACTAACTACTCCCAAGTTCTCCACCCTTGTTGCTATTGTGTTCCTTCAACGAAACAGTAATTTCAAACTTAGGATTTGGATTCTAAGTCCAAAACATAGAGCATCCAATGATGATCAATGTCATGAAATTCACATCAGAGATTCAGACTACACGAACTGCATGCCGGTATTCTGTTGCACAAAAAGCAACTGTAAATTAAACAGACAGTACAACCTCTACAAACTAACAATCTGTTAAGGTTGTTTCATTCCATCCTCTCAGGTACGGTTCCTGATCGCAGCTAGCTAGCTAGGCTATGACTGCCGTCAAAGGTTGCCTGCTACCGCTAAAGAATTGAAAAAGAAAGGAATATGAATAAAGTATGCAATGAAGTCAGGCTGAAGTACGTAGAAGCTGACAGGGCGTATTAACAATTTGCTAAGAATTGACTAGGTTCACAAAATGACAAACCCTTTGCACACTCCATTAATGTATGTATTGTATGAACTATATATATATATATATATATATATATATATATATAGGTCAATAGTCAACAGTCAATAGTGTCCACATTCTATTATATGATATTGCAGGAGTGCAAGACTGGGAAATTACAGTGCACGGGGAGTTAAGGAAACTATAAAAGTGAATATATATTATATGCATCAGCTACGCAATTTCCTTCTTTTTTTTTTTTTAAATTCATGGTGACATGGTGCATTGGTGCATCCAACCACTATGAAAGCAGTGTGGCACGTTACATCAATGTAGTCTCCGACAGGATGTTCTCAGAACACAACATTATTTCCATAAGCCGTCATTATCACTGCCACGCACTTCAGAAGAACAGCAGCCATAGACACCAAATTCTGATCGATACTGGTTAGTTGGTTGGTCCTCCTCCAAGATTTGGCCTTGGATCACAGCGAAAGAGAATTTGTAACAGGCAACCTTGAGACAATGATAATAACAACCTATTTTGTTCGATCCGGACAAGACTTGTTGACATGAGAATTAAGAGGTTACAAGTTTGATTATTGACCTTCTTGGGTTGAGCCGATCAGCTATGGACAATATAAATTGGTTTACCTCTTTGTGATTATTTGTGGGCTAACTTCAGATTTATCCCATGCACACTTCAAATAATGGTTATGAGTTTCCTTAGTCACTCAAAAAAAAAAAAAAAAAAAAAAAAAAAAAAAAAAACTTTTTGCCCTTTGTAGTGAGGAGGGGACATTGACTAAGGTGAAACTTGACAGCCAAAGCAATTCCAAGAAACTACATACAAGTTCCATGGAGTTTGGAAGACGCGTACAGGACCTACCCTGGGCTTTATAAATAAGTATCATCTGTACTTTATTACAGAAAGACAAATAATCAAGAAACCATTCATCGTATCGCAGAATGTCTGATCCCAAATACCCAAGGTTGTCGGAAGAGGAGAGCTATGACATGGAAAACACCATGGATCCTGAGCTTTATACAGCCATAACCAAAGGTGACCTTCTTGAATTCATAAGAGCAATGGAGGAGAGAATAACATACAGTCATCATGGATCAACAGCAGACTGTGTCCATTTAGCCCCACAGAAGAACACAGTTCTGCACTTGGCAACAATCCATGGACACGACGAAATCGTTAAACTTATCTGCAAGGACCTGCCATTCTTTATAGCAGAGAAAAATGTGAAAGGTGATATTCCCCTCCACATTGCAGCAAGAACTGGCAGCTCCCTGCTAGTGGAACTGTTGATTGGTGCAGACTACAGGGAAGGCTGTTTAGGCGAAACGAATAGGGAAGGAAACACTGCACTCCATGAGGCTTTAAGACACAATCATAAAGATGTGGCTCAGATGCTAATCTTTAAACATCCAAACATGTCTTATGGTGTTAACAAGGAAGGGAAGAGTTTGCTTTACTTGGCAGCAGAAGCAGGATTCGAATCCATCGTTAAGCTCCTAATGGAAAACCCTGTGGGACGTTACGCTATTGCAGAAAACAATAAGCACAAGTCACCAATTCATGCTGCAATAATTGGCAGGAATATAGGTAACTTAATTCACCTTTTTCTGTTACTAAAATCATTTGGATGTGATGAAGATTGGTTAATTGTTTCTTAATTATGTCGCAGATGTGCTAAAACTTTTGTGGGAATACGATAAGTCCTCTTTCCAGACGAGGTGCGAAAAAGGATGGAATCCACTCCATTATGCTGCAGATAATGGGTACCTTGATGGGGTGGATTTCTTACTGAACAGATGCCATGAATTTGGTTATCATAGAGACAAGCAGGGGGTTTTCCCTGTTCACATAGCATCTATCAGAGGTCACTGCAACATAGTCTCGATGATGCTTCAGCGCCGCCCTGATTCAATAGAACTACTCACTCTGCAAGGCCAAAACATCCTTCACGTGGCGGCTAAAGGGAGAAGATTGAAAGCATTTGATTATATGCTCAAAATGCCGGAAATGGAGAGGCTGATAAACCAGAGAGATGAAGATGGGAACACAGCCTTGCATGTTGCTACCATTTATGGAAACCCCAAAGTGGTGAGCAGTCTGATGTGGGATGAAAGAGTGAGGGTTGGACTGGAAAATAGTAATGGTCTCACTGCACTTGATATTGCTGAGGATCACATGAGAACAGACATTGAATCTTTTCAGAAGGTATATGATAAAGATTGAATCCAACAGATTAGCTAGTTTATTTTTGTCTAATTTTTGGGCACATAATGCAGAGACTGACATGGATGGCCTTAAGGGTTGGAGGAGCTCCAAGAGCACCAAACAGTAAGGTCTTGAATGGCAATGGAAATGGCAGATTCATGGTTAGACAGCACCCAAGAATGGAAGATTACAGAGACCGGGTGAATGTGATTCTGCTGGTGGCGACGCTGGTGGTGACGGTGACATTCACGGCGGGGTTCACAATCCCCGGCGGCTCCAACAACTCCAGTCCAAACCAAGGCATCGCAACAATGCTGGAAAAAGTGAAGTTCCAAGAATTCATAATCTGCGACTCCATAGCAATGTACAGCGCCATCATCGTGGCTGTGACAATGATATGGGCACAGTTAGGCGACATAAGCTCAATGCAAGTCGCCTTCAGGCTAGCACTGCCATTGCTGTGGATCTCCCTGGCCATGATGTCTGCGGCGTTCATGGCGGGGGTGTACTTAGTTGTAAGCAAGATCGGTTGGCTGGCAAACGTCGTGCTCTTCATGGGCTCAAACTTCATCTTCTTGCTCACCCTGCTGTTTCTGCCTCTCTGCTTCTTAGGCCCATCAAACCACCGCTCCTTTCGTTCCCTCTCTTACTATCCTTTCTGTCTGGTCCTGTTTGCTCTGGGAAGCTACGCTGAAGAAGAAGAAGAAGCCATGTTTGGTTAATTAATTGTACATAGCCAAGCTTGCAAGGACACCAATTTCATATTGGTCGCCTGCCATGAACGTGAAGTTGATTACAACCGCAATTCATCCAAAGATGAATTTAATTTGTAATATAATGTAAAGTTGATGTCCATAATTAATGAATATGTGCATAAAGTCTGTAATATAATCAAATTATGCTTTTAGCATAGCTTATTTAAAAACTTATACTTTATTCTAAGTTACAAATAAACTATTCTTTTTTATAATGTTTTCAAAATAAACTAGTAACTTAAAATAATAGCTTATTTTAAAAAAACTGTATATTCAAAAATATATATATACATTAGTACATGCATACCTATTTGAAAAAAAAAAAAAAATGTTGTCTTCCTACCTAATAATTACTCTACAAATTTTGCCTACCCATTCTTTGTCTATGAATGGACTGATAATATATTATCATTAAAAAATTATCTAATTTGGTGACAAATTTTAAACCTAATTTTTGTAATAAATTTATCACCAAAATAAAATCAAAATCCAAATATTGTATGAATGGAAGTGTTGAATTAGGGGAATGAGCAACCCATTTTGACCCGGCCGTTTCAGATAAACGGGTTAAGTGTTGAGGGTTTTGAGTGATTTGCAAATTGCAGACAACTTTCCGACATGGCGACTGTAGTTGAACTTCAGAAAAATTCAGCGAAATGGACTAAAGTTGTTGACGAAATAGTGAGAATAGAGAAACGAGTCTTCCCTAAACACGAATCTCTGGCTCGATCATTCGATGAAGAACTCAGGAAGAAGAATGGGGGGCTGTTATACATGGAGGTCGGAGCAGGAGAAGTTGCTGGTTATGTCATGTATTCTTGGCCCTCTTCCCTTGCTGCTTGCATCACCAAATTAGCAGGTAAATCTGTGTGCGATGCTATTTCTGCATAGTTTTAAACTTTGATTCTGCTTTTCTTTATCTGATTTCTTTGGTTTTTGCTAAAAAGGAAAGAGGAATGAAAAGGATATATGCATACTGCATTTTTTAGATTGTTTTTTGTGCGTTGAACTTGATTTAGCTTGTGACTTCCTGCTATAAGAATGCTTATACTTATAACACTTATACTTAAGGTAAATGTGCTGTTTGTGGAGATGAAAGAGAATATATAGTTTCATGGTTTAGGTAAATGTTCTGTGCTTCTGTTTTTTGGGATTTACATAATTTGTTTGTGAGTTGTATTATCGAAGGCAGCAGAATTGGTTTCTAGAGTAGCAATGACTCATTTATCCTATCACCTGAAAGGGCATTTACTAACAGAGAAATTCTTCATTTTCTAGAGAAATGAAAACAGAAAATGCTTTACTTGTATATTCCTCCATTTTTAAAACAGAATGGAAAGGTTCTATATTTAAGCTTCTAAACTAGTAAGCCACTATTCCTAGCCGTTTTAAACTCTCAAGACTTGTCGGTGAATAACATAAAAAAATGAAGTGCGATAAAAGACATGGTTAATGCTAATTTTGATTGAGCAATGTTGTATGAATATTGTTGGTAGCAGTTGTATATAGGAATTATGGTCTTGTGTACTTTTAAGATTATCAAAGAAGGTCAAGATATAGATCACCTTTCTGGCCTGCTCTGCTGCTGATAGCGGATATCTCAGCTCTAGTTCATTTTGGTTCACAAGGAATTGAAAAAAAACAAACAAACAAACAAATTTGTTTTCTAAGTTGTCTTTTGATTGGTTTTGTGGAGATGATGCTGACTTGATAAACTTAAACAACATAAGCAACCAATTTGTGACTCTAGTAACGTTGCAAAGAGTAAACTTTTGTCTCAGTTTCTTTTCCCGCTGTAATTAATTGGCTTGATTGGGTTTTCATGGTTAGATCCAAACACATGAAAATTCTAGAGTATTTAGTCTTTTACTAATGATCTTCTTGTTGTGTATGAAAACAAACATCAGTGAAAGAGAACTACAGAAAGCAAGGCTTTGGAGAAGCCTTACTTAAGGAAGCAATTCAGAAGTGCAGAACAAGAAAGGTTCAGCGTGTTTCACTTCATGTTGATCCCTCGAGAATTGCAGCCATGAAGCTTTACCAGAAGCTTGGTTTCCAAGTGGATACTCTTGTGGAGGGCTATTATTCTGCAGATAGAAGTGCGTATAGAATGTATTTGGATTTTGACTCGGAATAACCAAATGAAAATTTCAAATTTATAAAGTTATGATGTTTATATTAGACAAGATTTCAAGTTCCTTGCTATTTACAGAGAATACAATCACGAAATGTGGAAAGAGACCTAAAAATTGGATGCAATAAGTTGTTGCTGCCCAGGATCGAACTGGGGACCTTTAGTGTGTAAGACTAACGTGATAACCACTACACCACAGCAACTTAATGTTGGGTGTTTTTATCTTATCGTATTAGTACGTATTCCCCAAAAGTACAATTACTATTTTCCTTTAAAGTTTAAATATTAAATATAACAATTAAAAAATCCAGAGAAAAAATTTAAAAAAAATTGTTAAATTTAAACTATTAAAAAATATATAATTTACAAAAAAAATAAAATAAAAAAATGAACCGTTGATTCGGAACTAGAATCAAATCGAAATCGCGGTGACCTCTACTCGGTCAAAGTACCTATGAGGTCCCTGTACTATAGTGTTTTGTTCAATTTAGTCCTTTTACCTTAATTTTGTTTAATTTAGTCCATGTACTTTAAAAAGTGAAACAATTAAGGACAATAGCTTATGGTTTGGTACCGAACAACATAAGCAACCAATACCATTAACTTGGGACCAAATGGTCCCAAGTTAATGGTTGACTAACGGTCAAACAAATAGATGACCAAATTAGTTAAGATTTTTAAAGTTGAGGGACTTAATTGGTTAAAAAAAAAATAGTTAAGAGGACCAAATTGGTAATTTTGCTATAATCAATGGACCATTTCGGTAATTAACTCTTCTGGTAATCTAAGTGGGTGTGAGGTTGTTGGGGAATTATTCTGTTCCGAATACATAGATTACGAGTGTAACGGGCGTATCCTACAATCAATGTATTTTGGTAATCTAAGTGGGTGTGAGGTTGTTGGGGAATTATTCTGTTCCGAATACATAGATTACAAGTGTAACGGGCGTATCCTACAATCAATGTATTCTGGTAATCTAAGTGGGTGTGAGGTTGTTGGGGAATTATTATGTTCCGAATACATAGATTATAGTAATATGAGTGTAACGGGCCGGAACATAGATTATAGTAATACGAGTGTAACAGACATATCCTACAACAATGTATTCTGGTAATCTAAGTGGGTGTGACATAAACTAGTACTTTTCATCCAAATGGCATCAATGTATTCTGGTGATTTAAGTGGGTGTGACATAAACTAGTACTTTTCATGCAAATGGCAAGTCAATAAATAAAACAATTAATTTTTTTTTGAAAGTAACTAAAGAAAGTACTATTACATCAAATCATGAGTACATAAAAATTAAGTTACTACGGAGTGTATTCTAGTATATGTCTTATGTTACTGATCTCTTATTTGATTCATTGAAACTATTTTCTATACACACTAGACTATTAAGTATGAAGTTTGGGTGTTACGAATCCTACCTAAATGTGACTATCAAAAGAAAATTAAAAAGTGACAGATATTAATGTTGATGAATGTACTATAACAATTTACCTTTTAGTACTAAAAGCAGAATTAGTAAAAAACTGATTAAATCTTAAATTGTCATAAAACTTAAATATTTGATGAATAATGGAGATGTCACCCCAACTAAATTTGGAATTATAATAGAGAATGAGAAGAGTGATAAAAGAAAATAATGGAATTGGAAAAAATGAAAAAAGTTGACAATTTCACATGCAACTATAAAGATTTTTTTAAATCTGGAGAGTTTGGTTGAGTGAAAATGACTTATTTCGTTAATCAAAAGTCAATGATTCAATGTTTTAGATATAAAACAACCTTAAATATTCAGGTTAGCTGTCTCATTTAATAGATATGCCTACAATTTGACGAGAAAATTAGACAATATATTTGACGGTGAAAACACTAAAAGAATAATAATAATAATAATAAAGATTCATAGAACAACCCTAAATATTCAGGTTAACTCAATTGCCTTTTATTCTTAATCATGATAACTCAATTGAACATGAACCACAGAGGCTAGACCGGTGCTCGCACAAGGAACCCCCCTCACTTTGAGAGGTTGCTCCCACACTGCCGCTGGTGAGACTCAATCCCTGGTCATTCTTCCAAAATTTCACCTCTATGACCAGTTGAGCTACCCATGCAGGTAATTAATCAATAGCCAAGACCTTGTAATTAATGAATTAGCCTTTTATTTTCAAAAAAGCCTTGCACTAAGGTTGCACTCCCATATGAGAGAGTGTGGATTTGAACCTTAGTGGAAGGCGATATTGACTCTTTGTGTTTCAGTAGGTTGAAAGAGTAGTTATAGACAGATACTACATTGTAACAGAGTACCTAGGCACCTAGCACTAAAAAAAAAAAAAAGAAAAAAAAAATCTTTTTAAAAAAATGGCAATTGGCTACAGGTCAAACGGAAGGAGAAGAAAAAGTATAAAAGGAGAATGAAACATAGGAGTCTGATGTGGCAGCAATGTTGAATGACATGGCGGACAGATGTCTGCTCATTACGGACGTGTCGGCGCCACAACAGAGTTGCTCAACTTTTTCTTCTCCAATGGCGGACTCTCGGCCGTTACACTCAAAACCAGCGAAAAATTCAGAGCCCACTCACACTATATTCACTCGTTCCTCGCATTTCACTCCGATTCTCTTCTCCCAGGGTTAGGGTCTCTTCTTCGATCAGTCTCCAATTCATCCTAATCGCATCTGGGCGTTCAAAAATTGGCAATGGATATAGTTCGGAGCTGCATCCAGCACATGCTGAAGGTGGTGAATTCGCTGGTAGGTCTCTCAGGGCTCCTCATGATCTTGTATGGTTGCTGGATGTTTACCACCTTGCAAACGCACGTGACCTGCTCGGATGATGCCCTTTGCTTTTGGTACATTTCTGCTTTCTCAATTTCTAATGTTTATGTGTATATGTATGTATCTTGCTTTTCTGGAAAATGGAGGTGAGTGAAGAAAGGGGAAATCTTTGGTATTTATTTAGTTTATTGATCCTTTTTTTGTTCTGTAACTTTTCTGGACATGTCATGTTAGATGAGCTGCTTGACCTTTTTGATCTGGGTGTTATGTTCTCATTCACAAATCACAAACATGGCTTTTTTAACTTTCCAGCTTGTATCTTTATATATTTTTATGCTAGGTTCATCTACACTACTATTGGTGTGGGCTTCTCTGTGGATTTGATCGCCTGGACAGGTCATATTGCTGCCGAGACTTGTAATACTTGTTCTTTGTACTCTGTATCCTCTATGTTAATTTTCATGTCAATTCAAAGGAAAGACACTGAAAACTTGGGAATTTTTACCTGCATTTTGTGTGTTTGCAGTAAATTTTATTTGAGGTTTTGTGGTGTATGCAATGGTTGAAAGGTTTTTTGAATAATTGAAGAGGGGAAGTTCGAGTGCAATGTGATAAGAGCATCAGAATCAAAGTCCTTTCCAAAATATGTTAAGTTTTAATACAATTTTACTAAAATGTGGTTTCTTTCAAGACTTTGTGAGATTTGGTTTTCATATTCTCAAATCCCAGGTTGACTTTGCATCTCAAGAATGTGGTGTCATGTGATAATAATGCAACTTTATGTTTCATTTAAGTGCAACATTCATGTGCTGAAAGTGGGCAGTGGCAGGGTGAGTTAAATCATTGTGTTGTTGTTAATGGGAGCCTCTCTGTTTTCCCTGTATTCTATCTCATGCCGCGTTGCTTAAATGCAGCATGATATTGTATTTTGGTAACTTCAGATTGCACGCCACATTTTGGGTACCCGAAAAGCATATTTTGGTAAAATATTGAATGAAGCCACATTTTATCAAAGTTTTTTAATTTGATATATTCTGGGAAAGTGCTCATCAGATGGTTTGTTGAGTACATTAGTTCTATTCTTCAAATTTCATTACCAAAACACACTCTTTGTGGACCCCTGTTGAGAGAAGTGTTGAGATTCCATTGTTTTCCTTAATTGGTATAGTACGTGTTTTTCATCTACATCTTTCACCTTCTGGAAACTAACCTGGTGGCAAATGTATTCTTAAACAAAAACTGGGAAGAGGTATTTGTAGCTGAACTCTGCACTTTACGTTTGAAATAATACCACTATGGATAGCTTAACAAGTGTTGATTTGATTAAACCAGGGCTTTCCAAAGGACACAACTGGGAACATTGATAAGATCAAAGATTTTATTGAAGATAACTACGAGATATGCAAATGGATTGGCCTGTTAGCAGTGACTGTCCCGGTATCTCTCTCCCTGAAACACACAGACACATCACCACATGTTTTAGCTTCTGTTAGTGTCTGTTGATTGATATTAATACTGTGTATCAATTCTCGTATATTATCAGGAAGTAGAAAGATTATAACAAGATTAATATCTGTACTGCCTTGATTGATTAAGAAAGAAAGAATGAAACTGGTACTAAATATAGTATATTGAAACACACAAAAAGAAATAAAGTTATCCCTACTTTCATATCAACTTCTTTATCTTGTCACATGGACTACACACTGAGCTTCCCCTTTGAGAATTCATTTATAGAAGCCTGTTTCTTGTCATGTCTGTCAATTTCCTTCTTTTTTCTTTTTCAAAACAATTTAATGCCTAAAAAATAATGTTTCTTGAATTATTTTCCACATGCAGGCAGTGTGTGCATCGCTGGCACTGATTTTGAAAGCCCTTGAACCCGGATACCTTGAGGGCCGTCAAGATTATGCTCTGGATATAGCCCCACTCTTGGAAAATTATGTTGCTCAACCTTCTCATGTTATTGATATCGACCCTGCCTGTGGATCCAAGCAAGCATGACTCTTTAATATCGGGATTAACAGCAAGGTAAATTTAGTAAGAATATGATCATCAGGAACTGCAGAGACATGAAAATAAAAAAGGATGTCCAGTTTCTATGGCATACTATGTATTAGCTTAAGTTGGTATGTATTTTTCATCATCATCATCATTTTGTTTTAACTGTTATATAATATCATCATATTGGTCGAGTTAGAACTCGCCCCGAATCATTATGATGCAGTTGAAGATTGGTGCTGCGCTTTATGAAACGACAAGCTTTTCACCATTGTCTTGATATAGCTTTACCCAAAAGAGTACAGACCATAAATCTGTAATTGGAACCCATAATGACCACTTTACATTATTGTGGTGTATGTTACCTGGAAAGCTCACTGGGAAGTATTATAATCATTGTTTCTGCTCAAAGGTGAATGGAAGTGAAAGGTTTTGTCCAGAGCCCAGAGGTGTGGTTGGTTGATTAAACTACCAGAGAATAACCAGACGTGATTATGGGAAAAGGGCTTTAAAATCATTGTTTGTCTGCACAAAATTAAATACTGAGATTTGATTCCGCTGCTTTTTTGACTGAGTTTAGTACGTGTCTAAATGTGGTGGGCTGAGTTTAATTATGTTTTAGTGCTAATCTAAGCTGTTTTTGTGAACAGTTCCTATCAATTAATATGATAGTTGGAAGTTAAACGTAATTAGGGAACCTTAATCAACGGTGCAGTGTTGCCACTCTACCTTTATGATTTTGTCATTATACTAATCTCTCCTGTGGAGTATATAACATTAATATGCAATCTAACTATCAGCTTAGACTTTTAGTTGAGATGGAGCACATACTTCAATTTGGTATTAGAGTCATGCTAAAGGTCATGGGAGGGGCGTGTGCAATCCACTGTCTACCAGCATTATTAGTTAATTACAATTTAATTTGAATCTAACTAGTGAGATCTAGATTCTATTGTGTAAAAGTTCTCAAGCTCTGTACTTTAAATTGTGTTCATATTCAGATTTTTTTAAATTGTTTTTTAAATTAAGAATTTTTTGAACTGCCTTAAAATTTATTTTTGTCAAAGTTAGTGTTCTAAACCATCACGATTCTCACAAATTTTCAAATGGCAATGCAAAGAAATTCGAATTTAGAAATTCAAATTGTTGATAAGATAAAAATGGTGGTACAATTAAGGAGAGGATTATTGATGACTGCAATGGTAGATATGTGGCAAGTGGTCACATGGCATGCTACACTTGCTGACAGAGAAGACTTCCCATTCGTGTTACTAAAATACAAAGTATCAGATTATATATCTGATTTATTGTTGCCTTTTACTATTTTTCTTATTATAAATTATTTATTTGTTTTGTTTTGTTTTTTTTTTTTTTGAAAGTTTCTCCAATAGTAAATTTCCGTGCAATTATTTATGATTTGTCATACATCAAATGAAAATATAAATTGAATTCAGACGGCTTATATTTAGCCTCAAATCGGTCACAATTGACAAATTAAAACTGCAAAGTTATTGGTGAAAATTAAATATCATTAATTCAAAAATTTTATGAGTTTGATGGTCTTTTTTACATTTTTAGTTTATTGAACAACTAATTTCATGAAACAGTTGAGCTCATATCATTCAACTTAACATTCTCAGTTTTCTAACTAAACATATTAAATAGAACCTATATATTATATTATATGATTAAATGTGACAATCGAAATAATGCAAGATAATTTCAACATATAATCAAATTGGGGTCAACCATGCCCAAGCCTAATCCTATCCCAAATGAGTTGGATTGAGGCCACCATTATGCACAATTCATGTTCAATTCACATGCATTTTAATGAAGATTTTTTTTAAGGAAAAAAAATCTGTAGTTTTAATTATTTTGAATGGAAATTATTTGGATTTATAGGATATGGTGCAAATGTGAGACATGTCTTTGCCTCGACGTCCAACGCACCAAACATATCCGGCCATCAATTATTTAAAGTATTCCAAATAATTCCAATTCTCAATTATTTTTTTAAAAGTAAATAATTATTTTGTGTCTACATCTATGTTCTATTTCAAAGATTATTTACTTTTGGAGCTTTTCACGATGTATATAATATATTTACTCTCTTTTTTTTCTTTTTCTTTTTGACAACATGTTGACATCTCCTCTGATATGAAATGCGCCATTCATGCAATCATGCCTTAATTTTTGCAGGAAAATAAATACCCCATTTTAGTGTTGCCTTTTTGAAATGGGCACACAGGGTGCGTTACTGCATCAATTTTATTTTGGTGAAAGATGCAGAGTAGCAGGACAGCCTCCCTCCTCAAACAATTAAAGAAGAAGAAAAAAAAAAACTCGATGGTTTAGTAGGCAATCTTTGGGAGAAGAGACCAAAGTGGACAGATCCCTTGTGCCCATCGACATTTGGTCTCGTCTGCTGAGTCATTGTGATTTACATCATCCCAAATGCTGTGTCGGACTGGAATGTGAGCCCCTTGGAGTTTGGAATTCAACCTTTTGGGATAAGAAGAAAAAGAAAACTCCGAAAATAATAATTGAATGAGTAAAATATGACTCTTTTATTTGAAGATCACAAGTTCTACCAGCACATTCCATGTCAAGTCTGTTACAAAAAATCTTTATAGTACAATTAACCTCTCAAGAGCGAGATCTATATAATACATACTCTCATGTAATGGTGAATTTCCATTACCAGCCAAAATTGGAAGAAGAAAAGTGTGCTCAAATCAGTCTTTTTTGGTAGCAAAACATTAGCAGAATGTTTTATTATACTGCGGAATCACCTAACAAAGATGAATGTAGTGTTGGTTGGGAAAATTAGAGCACATGGTCGCAAGTCAACAATCATTGCTCAACTAAAATCTCAAAAGAGAAGAAAAAAAAAGGGAGCATTTTAAGTTAAAGATTTTCCTACTTTTTATTTATTACAATTGTTGAGCATGAAAGTGTAATTTTAAGACTGAATGTTATCAAATTAACTATTCAACCAATTCAATCTGAATTATCTACATTAATGATGACATCTATTCATTTATTATAATTAGAAATTAAAACAACTAAAAATTAACCATTAAAGAATCAAAGTTACATTTTTCTCTAATTTTTAAAAAGATTTAGAATCACTACAAACACCATCTTCGCCATTCATTTTTGTTGATCTCAAAACTCGCAAAAAAAAAATGGAAATATACAAATAAGTCAACAAAAACAGACTTGTCCATTCACACCAATCTACAATCTACAATTATACAAACACAACAAAATAAAAATGCAGAGCCAAACAAGAATAACGGTATAGTATTATGATTGGGTGTAATGACCCGTATGCCCTCGGGCATCGACAGTTGAGCATTGAGATTGAACCCAAGACCAAGGGGTCGCGGATTTAACGCCTTAACTGTCGGTGGGGTCCAAGGAAAAAATAAAAAAATAAAAAAGATAGTGGCACTATCGTGAATAAAATAAGTGTCCAAGGGCCACATGGTCACAAAAGTAGTATCAAGCTTTTCTCTGTTTTCTTTTATTATATAATGGTATCGGAAGCCTCGGTCTTCGTAGGCTCTGTTCCGACTCTCTAACACTTACTGTCGGCACAAACAGAGCTTTCCCCCTCTCTCTCTCCTCTCCCGCCTATACATACACTACGTATATACGTATATACCGGTTTTCTATAACCTACATTTCCCACCAAAACATCATGGGAGGTCGGCATTTTCGTTTTGCCGCCACCTGCTTTTTGGCGGTGGTTTTGGTGGCCGCCGCCGGCCCTCTCCGACGGGTGGAGGACCCACATTGGTATCCCGCCGCCGCCACTTGGTACGGCAGCCCTGAAGGTGACGGCAGTGATGGTAAATTCCTCAACCTTGGTTAATAATTAATACAATGTATGTGTTGGGTAAAATTTTGATGTGGAAAGTGGTTAATTTGGGGGGGAGCAGGAGGCGCGTGCGGGTACGGGACAATGGTGGATGTGAAGCCGTTCAGGGCGAGGGTGGGGGCGGTGAGCCCGGTGCTGTTCAAGGGCGGCGAAGGCTGCGGCGCCTGCTACAAGGTCAAGTGTCTGGACAGGTCCATATGCTCGAGAAGGGCAGTGACGGTAATTATCACTGACGAGTGTCCTGGGTGCGCCAATGACAGAGTGCATTTCGACCTCAGCGGCGCCGCTTTCGGCCGCATGGCCGTCACCGGCAACGGCGGCAGCCTCCGTAACCGCGGTGAAATCCCCGTCATTTACCGCCGGTGGGTACTCTTACTTTTTAGTCAATGCTCCTTCCTATTCCTGTTCATTCTGTACACTTACTTTTTAACTGTCCTCTCTTTTTCCTGTCTTGTCCGCCTCCTGTGTGTACACATAGTAACTTAATTAACCTAGTGGTAAAAATAAAATTCTATTTTTTAAGGTTTTCTGAAGCTTCGGAACACTGAAAACGACATATTTAACAGTACTGTGCTAGTAATTTTTAGCTCAATTACTTTTTACTAAACAAATTTCTAGTTCCCATTTTAGTTTTTGTTTGTCTTCCCTGAAACAATTACCCATTTAGTTAAGAAATTTCGTTGGTCAAAATGTTTCTTTTTTAACTGTTTCTTGGTTTGCTTAAAAGTAGCTGTGCTGTGACCGTTGACCACCTTTTTAACTTGGTATTTCATGGGAACTTACAAATTTTTATATTAATTGTGTACTTGTAATAAATTGGGCGATGTAGGACACCGTGCAAGTATCCTGGAAAGGATATTGCCTTCAAAGTGAACGAGGGCTCGACAGATTTCTGGCTTTCGCTCTTGGTGGAATTTGAGGATGGAGATGGCGATGTTGGATCCATGCACATCAGACAGGTAAAAAATGTTTGACTTTTTTTTCGTAGGAGAAATCAAGAAATGGTCGGAGTTAATATGTGCAGAAATCCGAAAATTTGGGGAGGTTAATGAAGGTTTAGAAGGAATCCCGACAAAGCGCGAACATAAAAAGATTCAATTGCCCTACTTTGATACTTAAAAAGAATATTGCCATCTTTCTTTTGCACGCACTACATACTTTCCTCCGTTCCTTTTTATCTCACTTTATCTTTCCAACCAATTGATTATTGTGTCGTGTGTTACTGTAGAAATTAAAGTACAATGTTGTGAGATTCAATTCAACGTAGTGTTAATTGATTGGTTTTGTCGTGGGGAACTTTTGGCAGGCGATGTCTAATGAGTGGCTGGAGATGACGCATATATGGGGAGCCAACTGGGTGATTAATGGTCAAGGGGGAGGGGCTTTACAGGGACCATTCTCAGTAAAGCTAACCACACTCTCAACCGGAAGGCTCCTGTCTGCAAGAGATGTGATTCCCAGGAACTGGTCTCCAAAGGCCACTTACACTTCTCGCCTTAACTTCCACATATGATATATCCAAAAGTGTTTAATTTGCCATTATGGGTGGGTCTGTATTTGTTGTTTTTGAAGAAAGGGTCGCCATTGGAGAGCATTAAAGAAGAATCCAATGCCCCCCCTTTTTTTTACTGGTTAATGTACGTTTTAATTTACAGTAGCCCTCTCCAAAGGAGAGTGAGCGCTCTGATCATCATGTGTTGTTTACCAGCTATAGTACGTACCACGTACAGTTACAGTTGTTTGTTGGGTGAGAGTTAAGGTTGTGGGTCCTCTTGTTTTTGGACTAATGAATGTTATCCACTGTTTCCCTTGTTCTTTGTTATATATACCAACGGAAACAAGCAGTGTATTGTTGTGGGTCCTTGTCTTGTTTATTACATTTGTGTCACGTAATCACATGTACTATTCTAATTAGCTCAAACCAAGAAAATTAATAGCTGTTCTGACTGAGAACGTAAACATTAGAATTTTCAAGTTAGTCTGACCAACTTGTCTGGGTTTTTTCGTGTCAGCTAGGTACAATTTGACTGTATGAAAATTGGTTTAATCTTGAATAGTAGGGAGTAGTAAGAAAGAATTAGTGATAAATGGGGTGTGGTTGATTTGCAGGGGAGGGGACAGAGATGACAGAAGCTATGAATGTTGGTAGTGGTGAGTGAGTTCATCCAGTCACATGCAAAGTGTTTGTAGTTTATTAAACTTTTGACTAATAAGAAAATGGTTTTGCCCCACCGCACGTTGTAGCGGTCCCAACGGCTGCAGCTAATTATATATCGTATCTTTTGGCTTTGGCAACAACGTAACTAAACTACTGTTCTCTCCATGTGAGTTGCCATGTGTGCAAATCTTCCAGGAATAATGGAGAGAATATAATTCAATTCCCTCTCGTGAACCCTATAGTGAATATATATGATCCAGGAGCTGAGGTCCCTTAGCTTTAATTTTCTGGGATAAGACATAAACAACTGGAGATCGATCAGATCGTGATTGGATCAAATCTTTTGTCGTCATTACACTAAACAACTTGAGAAACAAATTAAAACTCTTATCTTATTTCTCCACCTGGTTGTAATGCTAGGAGCTAATTAACATGAATGAAGTGAAAATCAAAACGAGTGAGTATCTAGAAAAGAAGAAGATCAGAAAAAAAAAACTTATGACGCATGCGAGGAGGCTGGATCAGTGTCAACTTTCTTTTCTTTCTCACCTTCACTTGAACCAGAACCAGAACCTGCAGGTATCTCCGTTTTAGGTGCTTCAACGACGGGCTTGTCATCAGGTTGTGTCACAACTTTATCGTCCTTCTTCGCCTCATTTGTACCTTTTCCATCCTTATTGGCTTCATCTTTTGAATCCTTTGTTGTTTCCTTATTATTGCCGTCTTTTGCATTCTTTGTTGTTTCCTTATTGGCGTCGTCTTTCCCATCCTTGGGAGGAGGCGGAGGTATCATATGCGGTGGGGGCTTTACCTTGAGCTTCTGGAAAATTTGACGCATTCTGGATAGATCAGCTGCCTTCCCAGGCTTTGGACCTTGAATCACAGTGATTCCAGGTTTCCTTTCTTCTTCCTTCTTTCGTCCCCTTTTCTCTATGTTAGCTATCTCCCGAGGTACTAGCTCTGCGATCGCCTTCCAGTATTGTTTATCAGCTTCTTTATGGAATTTCTCTTGGTTCGCCAGATACAGCTGCACGTACAAAATGTTCTCATCAACTTAATAAAGTAAGAACACATTCAATTCCCGCATGATATGCAGGTGGAAGCAGACCATTAAGATATTGGGATGTTTGGTAAATAGCTGTTAGCTGATTGTGTTAATGGGTTTGACTACTTGATAACAGCTGATTGTAAAAAAGATGTTTGATAAATTAATTTTTAGCTGATAATTGATTACATGTAAAATGATTTTGTCAGTTTTAAAACAATAAATTACTACAAAAGATTAATTAGTTAAAACACGTCAAAATTGAGTGATAAGCTAACTATGTTATCAAATAAGGTCATTATTTATATACCTTTTCACTTTCTCGATTGTGTGCTTTGGTGGTCTCACCATTTTGCTTCCTTTTCTCGTAAAATGTTCGGATGTATTCATTTGCTTCATGGATAATCTGATTCCTCATTTCCTTTTCCTTCTTTTCCTTCTCCTCAAGAAATATTGCATTTTGACTGCAAATTAAAACTACATTCACTTGTTATTCAACCATTAATGCTAGCTTTCCGAATGGCTAGAGAAACTCACCGGCGCCACTCGCGAAATGCGGCTCCTTCCTCCCTCATCTGGCTAGGGTCAGGAAGCAGGGGACCAATGTCGCCGCTGGCGGCGGAGCTGAAGAGGCCCTCAGAATCAGCTCCGATATCGTAAGGCTTGGAATGGACATTGGCCGCATGAGAATCCTGCGGCGGCTGCGGCGAGGCTTCGAATGGCGACGGCGAGTACTCCTGATTGACAGAAGCTACGAAGCCGTAACTCTCAGGCGACTGCATGCTATCGCCGCCGAAGTAATCGTTCGGCGGCGGCGGCGGCGGATTATGGATACCGCCGCCGTCGTCGTCCTCCGGCGCTGGCGGAACGTCGAATTCGTAGCGCTGCGATTGAAGTCGAGGATCATAGGCAATGTAACCGTCATCGTCGAAGGGGCGTGAAGCGGCGGGGTGGATGACGTCGCCTTCCGCCGTCCCGTAGCTCTCATCGAACGAATCCATTCCGTCTCCCTCTACCACTCATGCCTCGTACGAACAGATTTGAATGATGAATACATGAAACATTGGCGAGATCCTAAAAAACGCATGATGAATCGAAGAAAACTCGATCCGTTTTCGCAGTTCAGTTTTGTTGAACAAGAAAGATGTCAGCACTGAGGTTACTTCTTATCCACGTGTTAATCTTGCCATATCGTTGACCAAAACTTTTCACTACATGTATGTGAGGAAAATGCTAGGTGTCAATTTACACAAGGTAATAAAATATTTTTTGGGATTTATAATATGTAGTTATAATATATGGTATAATCAAACATGTAATTTAAATTGTATCTTTTAAATTGCATGTGTCTTAATAAAAGGTCGTCATTTTAGCCATATTTTATATTATAAAAATGAAGGAAAAATAATCCATTAAATAGATTATTAAATCGAGAGAATGTAATTAGACCACTGAATTAAAAATAATATTAATAATTGAATCGTATCATTGAGCATTGTAAAATCATATAATGCATACCAAATAACTAGTTGTTTCATATAAATTACAATAAACATCTAATATGATATATTATATGGAAAAAAAATCTAATTGGAGTTTACAAACAAAACAAAAGTTTATATTGATTTATAACTTCATAAATCAAAGGTTAACCAACATAAATCGTTAAAAGACAAACGTATAAACTGCAAGACAAAAGATAAATCGACAACAATGTGTAATTCTCTAGCTTATTTAAAATTGCAACCCCTTCGCATTCACAAAATATGGTAGCAACTTACTCAAATCACTCTTTATAAACAAATAAAAAAAAATAGAAAAACACGTTTGGCGATTTCAGATTAACTACCCCCACCCACGCATCAGTCTCCATTCAAAAAAATAAAATAAAAATGGCAGTCTTGCATGGAGATTGTCGATATCTAATTGGAGACTATCACTTGAATTTCTTCAAAAGTGAGATCTATAATAAACATTTTGAATTATTACTTACAGTAACATGTGAAAGGATACTATGAGAAATGGATTAGCACAATTCAAAACTCCTCCAAATTGGTATTTATAGAGTCATGTAATGTGAGATCTATAATAAACATTTTGAATTATTACTTAGAGTAAAATGTGAAAAGATATTATGAAAAATAGATTAGCACAATTCAAAACTCTTCCAAATTGGTATTTATAGAGTCATGTAATTAATATTCATAAATTATTACATTGTTAAATGTGATAAAATAAATTATTATGTCTAATTGTTAAATGACACCAAATTAACAATGCTTTCAATTTGGTAAAATCAAATTATATTTTTGAACATAAAAAAAATTAAAAGTAACATCTTATAATATTGACATATAATTAAAGACCAAAATATGAATATATATAATTACTTTGGACATAATTCCCACACTGTCGCCGCTGATGTTTAAATCTTAGTCTCTTCTCCCAAATATTGTCCACTAAAACCATTGAGCTAAGCTCGTGCAGACATATAACCATGCTTACTGTGAAAACATCAAAAGTGCAAAAAAAAAAAAATGATCAAATAAGATGCTGAATCATATGCAAATATATAATTAGACTACTGAATTAATAAAACATAAAACATTATAAAATATTGCAACATACGCCAAATAACTTATTGCTTGATATAAATATTGGTAAACATATTATCTGGATAACAAATATGATAGATAATTTAATAAGAAGAACAAAATCAAAGGTCTCAATCCCGATTGACAATCTCACTCAGAGATAATCAATCTTCGATTAGAGAGTGGAGATTATGCTCAAATTTTTTTATCTTTTATTTTTGTCTTCATTTAAAGATGCATGTAAAGATATATGTTAATTATGACTTATGAGCCACTTTAGACTTCCAAGAGTGTTTTTATAAATATGTATTAATTATATTTTTACAAGTTAAAATATTGGAATAAGGGTCAAATAGGTTATCGAACTGCACACAATAATGCAATTAGATCTCTAAACTAATCATTTTCATGCAATTAATTCAATTTGTAGGGTTTTCAACTTTCTAGGAGGTCACCTTTATTTTAAAAATTATTATTCAAAATAATTATTTAAAATTAATAATAATAATAAACCAGATCGTCTCCGCCGGAGACGAAGAAGGTGACGAAGAAACCTTCTTCGTCTCCGGCCATGAACTCTATGACCGGAGACGAAGACTCTGATCTTATTATTATTATTTTAATTTTAAGTTAAAAAAAATATTTTAAATTAGTGTGACTTGCTAGAAACCTGAAAAATCTATAAATTAGACTAATTACATAAAATGGTTAGTTTAGAGATTTAATTATAAGTTTTTTAAATTTAGTGGCCTAATTATATTATTGTGTTTAATTCAATAACCTATTTGACCATTATTCTTAAAATGTTTATTTGGAACTTTTTTTAAGTTGAAAAAAATCAATTGCATTCCCATAGAGTATTTTTGCCCTTAACCCCTCACCTCCTCCCAAAAAAAATAAAAATAAAAAATAAAAAAAAAAAGTCTTGTTTTGCCGTGAAGGCGGTGTAAAATCTACGAAACTGCGAAAGCCGAAAGGAGGAGCAGCGGTGTGAAGCTGTGAAGGCAGTGCTTCTTCCCCTGGTTTTGAACTTTGAAGGACTGATTCTCAGGTTAAATCTCTTTCATTTCGTACTCTCTTTTCCTTCGAATTCCTATTTCAATTTCTCAGAAATGGTTTTCATAAAAACTCCCGATAATGGAACCCTAGCTCTAGATGTAAACCCCTCCACAACCACTCTTCAATCACTGACCCTCAAAATCCATGAAACTTACCACATACCCCTCCCCAGTCAACGACTCTTCCTCGGCTGCCGCCGCCTCATCGACGGCGCCGTCCCCATCTCCCATCTCGGTGTTTCTCCCAATTCCACGCTAACCCTACATGTCCCTCTGCTTGGCGGGATGCAGGCACCTGTGCCACCCAAGACCAGGCTTGATTTTCTTAGTACCAAACCTCCTGCCAATTATGTCGCCGGGCTTGGTCGTGGTGCCACTGGTTTCACCACCAGGTCTGATATTGGGCCGGCTAGAGCTGCCCCAGATCTTCCGGATAGATCGGCCATTGGCGGTGCTGCAGCCACAGGGGTTGGTCGTGGCCGGGGGAAGGGAGGCGGTGAAGAAGATGAAGAGGATGAGAGTGATGACAAGGGGTATGATGAGAATCAGAAGTTTGATGAGTTTGAAGGAAATGATGTTGGGTTGTTTGCATCAGCAGAATATGATGAGGATGACAAGGAAGCCGATGCAATTTGGGAGGCTATTGATAAGAGAATGGATTCGAGGAGGAAAGATAGGAGAGAAGCTAGGCTTAAGCAGGAAATTGAAAAGTATCGTGCTTCAAACCCTAAGATTACTGAACAGTTTGCAGATTTAAAGAGAAAGCTGCACACATTGTCAAATCAGGAGTGGGAGAGTATACCTGAGATTGGAGATTATTCTTTGAGGAATAAAAAGAAAAGATTTGAGAGTTTTGTGCCCGTTCCTGATACCCTTTTGGAGAAGGCAAAGCAAGAGAAAGAGCATGTCTCAGCTTTGGATCCAAAGAGTAGGGCAGTGGGTGGGACTGAAACGCCATGGTCTCAAACCCCAGTTGCAGACTTGACTGCTATGGGTGAAGGGAGGGGTACTGTGTTGTCAGTGAGGTTGGATCGAATTTTGGACTCAGTTACTGGGCAGACAGTGGTGGATCCAAAGGGTTACTTGACTGACTTAAAGAGTATGAAAATCACTAGTGATGCTGAGATTTCAGATATAAAGAAGGCTCGATTGTTGCTTAAATCTGTTACTCAGACAAATCCTAAGCACCCACCAGGTTGGATTGCAGCTGCGAGATTGGAGGAGGTTGCTGGTAAGCTGCAGGCTGCGAGACAATTAATTAAAAAAGGTTGTGAAGAGTGCCCTAAGAGTGAGGATGTATGGTTGGAAGCATGCCGGCTGGCAAGTCCTAGTGAGGCAAAGGCAGTTATTGCGAGTGGTGTCAAGGTGAATCCAACCTCAGTGAAGTTGTGGCTGCAGGCTGCCAAGTTAGAGGAAGATGACGTGAATAAAAGTCGTGTTTTGAGGAAAGGGTTAGAGCATATCCCTGATTCAGTGAGGCTTTGGAAAGCTGTTGTGGAGTTGGCCAACGAGGAGGATGCTAGACTTTTGCTTCAGAGGGCCGTTGAATGCTGTCCATTGCATGTGGAGTTATGGCTTGCTCTTGCTAAGTTGGAGACCTATGAAAATGCTAAGAAGGTACTTAATAAGGCAAGAGAGAAGCTTTCTAAGGAACCTGCTATTTGGATCACTGCAGCAAGGTTGGAGGAAGCTAATGGGAATACTGCTACTGTAGCAAAAATTATAGAAAGAGGTATTAGGGCCTTGCAGAGAGAAGGCTTGGAAATTGATCGTGAAGTTTGGATGAAGGAAGCTGAGGCTTGTGAAAGAGCTGGTTCTGTTCTGACCTGCCAGGCTATAATTAGTAATACTGTTGGGCTTGGAGTGGAAGAAGAAGATAGGAAAAGGACCTGGGTTGCTGATGCTGAAGAGTGCAAAAAGAGGGGTTCCATTGAGACGGCAAGGCAAATATACTCTCATGCCCTTACCGTCTTCAGAACAAAGAAGAGCATCTGGCTTAAAGCAGCACAACTGGAGAAAAGCCATGGCACCAGGGAAAGTCTCGATGCTCTCCTTCGTAAAGCAGTTACTTATATTCCAAATGCTGAGGTTCTATGGTTAATGGGTGCCAAAGAGAAGTGGCTTGCTGGTGATGTACCTGCAGCTAGGGCAATTCTTGAGGAAGCGTTTGCTGCAATACCTGATTCTGAAGAGATTTGGCTTGCTGCATTTAAGCTTGAGTTTGAGAACAAGGAGACTGAGAGAGCTAGAAAACTGCTTGCTAAGGCTCGGGATAGGATACCTCATGCCCAGCGTGTTTGGATGAAATCTGCCATAGTTGAGAGAGAACTAGGAAATGTTGAGGAAGAGAAAATGCTGCTTGATGAAGGGCTGAAAAGATTCCCTGCTTTCTTCAAACTCTGGTTGATGCTTGGCCAACTTGAAGAACGACTTGGCAATTTGGAGCAGGCAAAGAGTACATACGAGTCTGGTTTGAAGCACTGCCCTGATTGCATTCCGTTGTGGCTATCCCTTGCAAAATTGGAGGAGAGGATGAATGGGCTGAGTAAAGCTCGAGCAGTTCTTACGATGGCCAGGAAAAAGAACCCAAAGAATCCTGAACTCTGGCTTGCTGCAGTGCGGGCTGAGGCTCGGCATAGCTACAAGAAGGAAGCTGATGTTTTGATGGCAAAGGCATTACAAGAGTGCCCAACCAGTGGTATACTATTGGCTGCTTCAATTGAGATGGCACCTCGTCCACAGCGAAGATCCACAAGTGCAGATGCTTATAAAAAGTGCAACCAGGATCCCTATGTCCTTGCTGCCATTGCAAAGTTATTCTGGAATGACAGGAAGGTTGACAAAGCTAGGAGTTGGTTCAGCAGAGCTGTCACTCTTGCACCAGATATTGGTGATTTCTGGGCTTTGTTTTACAGATTCGAGGAGCAGTTTGGTTCCGAAGATGGACGGAACGATGTATTACGGAAATGTGTTGCAGCGGAGCCAAAACATGGTGAAAAATGGCAAGCAATTGCTAAGTCTGTGGAGAACTCTCACAAGCCAACAGATGAAATCCTGCGTCAAGTGGTAGCTGCCCTAAAGAAGGAAGAGAATGCTGCTGAGATCAATGAACCATAGTCTACTGTAACTTTGATAGTTTTTCTGTGATCTATTATCTAGTTGACATTTAAATAGCAAGTACAAGTGGTTTATTTCTTTCAGGTATTAAATTTTGCTCATCAATCTATATCTTCATGTGTGAACACGAGTGGACCTTTGCCTTTGCTTTCTATTCTATGAGCAGGCGCAATGTTGGCAGTGTGGATGAATTGCATTGGACTACTTTCAATTTCTTGTACTTCTTTGATCTTGATGTTTCATTGATGGATTGTTGATACTTCTAAAGTTCATTACTGAGAATGGATTACTCCTAACTCCATTTTGTCTGTTCATTTGATGCCGTAATTTCTTGCATGATAAACACTTCTGCAAGTCTAGTTGATTTTTTAAAATTTATTTTTGGGTACTAAGGAGAACTCGAAGGCACCCTAAGAATCACAAGAAGGTAAATCAGCCAAGGTTGTCCATAGCTAATTGGCTGAAACCAACAAGGTGAATAGGCTACTCTCTCTGAAAGTCGAATTTAGAATTTTGTGGTTATCAAACCAACAGGCTCGACCAAGTTGGTTAGGATTGCTCCAAGTGTAATTAATTTTGTTGATAGGATATTATTTTGATTTGTATCTGCTGATGCTACACAAAATATACCAGGCAACTATCTGAAGTAGACAAACTAATAGCCTTCCACACAAGCTAGGAAAGCTAGAAACTCTCTTAAAACTCCTGAAAAATTGCATACAAGGGACCTTACAGTATTAAGCTAGACTTATAATTGAGCTATTTCTCAGTTTTCCTTGGTATCTGTAGTTTCTGAAATATGGGTGTCTTGGCTAGCTCATATCCTGCTCTGGGTAGCATTTAAGCCAATCCAACAAGTTTCTCGCTTACCTCCCATAGTTTTCTTGCTTTCTCTGCATCGCTAGCTTCTTTAGAGAGCCTGTTCTCGAACGAGGAAGAGTTAGAATTCCAGCTCCAGTAGACGCCCGATTTTGATAAACTTGGATCACTTACTACCTGAAATCAATGTAGGTGAATTAGTTTCTCATAAGAAGCAGAAGACAAAAAAAAAATGCATTGTGATTTCTTTACTAACCTGTGCTAGTCTTTTTCCAGCCTCGTCTTCTGATACATATCCTTTTGTGATGTATTTCTGGAAGGGAGGGAAGAGGAGCCTGAACAAGGGAATGTGTTCCCTAAACAGGCCGGTTTCAGCAATGCACCCGGGGTAGAGGGAAGCAAAGGCGACGCCAGTCTCCTCATGGTAACGCCTGTGGAATTCTTGCATGGTAAGCATGTTGCAGACTTTGCTATCTTTGTAGGCCTTTGCGCCATCAAATTCTCCCCCGTCTATCATGGGTGAACTTTGGGTTCCATTCAACCCCCCTTTTAGTCCCCTTAGATCTCCAAGATTAGCTTTTGGTGGCACGTTTCCAGCCAACGTGTTTGTGTTTCCTGTTTGAAAATTGATGCCAAGTTCTGATTTTGAATCCCTTCCATTGCAGACTATCTACTAATCAGAAAATGATGAGAGTAGATTAGTACCTGTGATGGAGCCAACAATTATGAGCCGCTTTTGTGGATAATCTGATTGCTTCAGATCATCCAGCAACAACCTTGAAAGCAGGAAATGCCCGAGGTGGTTAGTCCCAACGCTAAGCTCAAACCCTTCAGCAGTAAATGTCGGCTCTTTGGCAGTGGGGAAGTAGACAGCAGCATTACAGACCAGCACGTCAAGTGGCCTCTCGGAACGCCTGAAGGTGTCTACAAATTGGCGAACACTGTCAAGTGAAGCAAGGTCGAGGTGCATAACCGTGTAGTTCTCTTTTGGCATCCCGGCTTTTTTAGCAGCCGTCTCAGCCTTCAGAAAATTCCTGCACGCCATGATCACATGCCACTTCCCCGTTTCAGCAAGAGCCTTCGCAGTCGCTAGTCCTAAACCCGAGGAGGCTCCCGTGATGATCACACAGCCTTTCCTCAATGTCTTCTTCTCTTCTGGTATAGACTGGACTGGAGTAGTTACAGCAGTTTGTGCTCTTACAGGTCCAACTACTAACTTCCTTCCCCATTCCTACAATGTTATGGTGTGTTGAGCATATAGTCATTAATGTACAATCCAAACTATCAGCTTAGACTTTTAGTTGAGATGGAGTACATGCTTCAATTTGGTATCAGAGCCATACATGTTGCTTATCAGCTTAGGCTTTTAGTTGAGATATAGCACATGCTTCAATTTGGTGTACCACTTTAGTATGCAATCTCTATATGTTGACAGATGCCCCTATCAACTAAATGAAGCCAAAATCTGGGTTTATTATATTATCAATGATTAACATTAGCAACATAGATTCTTGGAACTAATTTATGACTTCAGCAGCTCTTTCTCCTTCTGAAATAGACTAATTCATTGGATTTACCCACACCCAGAATGTAATTTACACTAGAAAATTACAGTAAATGCCAATTGCCAATTATAGTATGCAGATTGAAATTGACAGAAGCCATGTCAAGAACTTTACCTTGGTGCAAGAAGAATGGCTAAATTGAGCTTTAGGGTTGCATGGCAATGCAACTCCATAAAAGGTTGTCTCCTTCAAAGATTTACCCTGTGTAAAAATTAGTCCAAAAATCTAAGCTTTATCAAGAAATGGTTAGTGAGAGTTAGAGCTTAGAAACTGCAGAATAGTAGAATACCTCTTTGTGAATGGAGAGAGCAGAGGGGAGAAAAGAAGCTGATTGGAGTGCCATTATTAGAGCTTTACTACACCAAAGAAATCTTTTGTAAATGTCTGGAAATGGGGAAAAAATCCTTTTTAGTCTGTCTGTGTGTCCCAGTTTTAGCCAGTTCTGAATAATTGTTGGGATAGGAACAGGGTGGTGGATGTGGGGTAGGGGTGGGGATAAGATGGTCATCTACTAGTAATGGAATGTCATCTTTCTCATCCAATCAAATTTTGAGTTTTGGATTCTCTTTGATATTTTTAGGGGTTGGCTGAAATAGTGTATACCATTGTAGCTGTGATCTGGGCCCTGGGCCTGGAGGATCAGATTCAGGCCCATGCTAGAGCCCATTCCCAGACCCACATGTTAAGCCCAGAAAACAACTAATTTATCATTATTAACCAAGATTTTTATAATTTTTGTTTTTTAAAAAATACAATATGCCCCAAATAAATTATTATTGCAATTTTATCAAGTAGTCATAATTTATATATATATATATATATATATATATATATATATATATATATATATATATATTGCAATTGAATCTCTTTAACCAAGCTTGATAATGAACACTCAACTAATGAGATGTGGACATAACTGCTTTCTAGTTCTTGGATGGTTCTGCTATATGCACAACTCTCCTCATTTTTTTTTTAATTTGTTTTGTTATTTATTTATTTATGTATGAACGCGGTTATAATTTGGCCGTGAGCTACACTACTTTTCAATAAATAGATTTACGTTTAAATCTCGTTATTCTCAATTCTCATATGTACCCTAAATGAGAAGGAGATGAACATATATACTATCCTAATTAATATAATTTCCTAACATTCCGGATGACTTTTGAATTTGTTAACATTAAAATTTAGCTCATTATATGTATTATATCCTAGGTTTTTTTTATTAAAAAAAAAAAAAACACAATTAGTGTCACATTGCAAACAAAGTCAACATTTATATATTTCTGCGTGACCATTGCAATTATTATAATTCATGATAAATTTGACTTTCTACTATTTTATTATTTGTTCTCAAAAATTAAAAAAACAAAAAATCAAAAGGCAGCCGCCGGCCCGCCACACCATGGCATCAATGTTGAGCATGCTTTAGGTCTAAAGATAAGACCAGTTACCGTAATCCAGGGATTATGATTCAACCACAACATTAATATATTTAGCATTTTCTTCTTTAAAAAAAAAAAGATATTTAGCATTTATTTATTTATTTATTTATTCTGGATGACAGAGAGAAATTGTCGCCGTTGTTTGAGAATGTGCACGGTGTAAATTCTACGTCTCTACTACACAGAGTGTAAACTGCAATAGAAAACAATTGAGATAATTGACATTCAATCAATAGAAAATAACACTTTTAATCACATGATTCTCAATTATTATTGCGGCATTAGGTTTAACTATTTAAGGACCGAAACATTACATAGTTAAAATTTTAAAAGTTTAAGATTATATTAATATCCACGAATAATTGATAGATTAAATATACAGTATAACAATACTAAAAAAAATGAGGTTTTTGCTTTAATTTAAGTGTTGATAATATAAGCACATATATAATGTCATTTTCAGTATCACAGACTGCACTGATCCATATTGTGACGTTCCAATTAAGAAATTAAGATGATCTAATAGGCCGGTGAGTGGCCCCACCTTTTGCCTAACCAAAATGTTATCTCCATTATTATACTTAATTTGAGAGGATTAAAATAATTAATAAACAAGAAAGGTGTGCTACTTATGGGATTACTACACCACTTACTCTACTTTGTTTATGCTGCAGAATTTAGTACTGAAACTCACTAAGCTTTGGAGTGATGCTAACAACAACCATTTCCAAGAAGATAAGCGTTATAAGATTCCTCCCAAAATGTTCTGAAATACTTTGGGAAATGCAAAGTTATAGGGATGTCCATACTTTCCAAAATCACAATCTTGATTGTATAGTCTTTAAATGTAAAATACTCTCACTTATGTTTATTTTAAAGTTTTAATAGGGAATAAATAGTTAAATATATTTTAGTAATGTTAAACTTCTTAAAAATTTATACATTAGTATTTATAACAGAACAAATAAGTTCAAACTCATTATATAATGAATAAATCTGACAGATATAACTCAATTGGCTCTTAAAAGTTCAAATACTATTAACTTATTGAATTAAACAACCACTTAATTTGTTCCTTAAAACCTTTTTATTTAGTCAATTTTGAACACCTTTTTGTAAACTTTATGGGCATGTTTATTTTGGGAAGTTGTAAATATATTTCTTGCACATAATCTATAATACACAAACTTTTAAAGGTTCTCATTTCTACTTAATTCTTTATATATATATATATGTGTGTGTGTATTATATACACACATGTACCAAGGACCTTGTAGTTCAATGGTACCATGTTGCTCCCCTATATGTGAAGTGATAAGTTCAAGCCTTAGTGAAGACAATTTGATGCAATTGGGTATCCTCTTTCGTATAAATAAAAAAATATACATGTAACCTATTTTCCAAGTGTGTATGTGATGAAACTTTATATTCTAACCTAGTCTACAAATGATCAGAGATAAAATAGTATATGTTATCTATAATTAATCAATTCAAACCAATAAGTTAATAGGTCTATGTTATACACAAAAACCATATAATTGCAGAAAACAAGAGAAACATTACAATACACTGTGATCCCAGAAACCATACCAAAATGTACAGAAATTAAAAAAAAGAAGAAGAAGAAGAAGTGGTGGTGATGTAGGAATCGATTGAGAAGAAGATCATAAAAGCGTCTCCCTCAAAGCTGATCCTAAGCTTCTGATATAGTAGTGTGATCACAATTCACAACTGCTAAGTGTTCATAAACAGCTAAAACATAATGAAATGAAGAACTGAAGTGTGTAGTAATGATATGCGACAAAAGTGAAAAACATGAAGCATGAAATTAGCCATTGCGAAAAGCCTTTAATACGCAGCTTTTTTGCAGATGGCATGAGGATTGAGGAATGCAAATAAAGGCTAAGAATGAAGCCGAGAGATGATGAATCACAGGTTGTTCCATGAAAAACCCACAACCAGTGAGATTTGAGAAGAAATATATGGTGAGCTGAGAAAGTTTAGTCTTGATCATTGGGAAAGAAAGGTCTCATGGGGCATGAAGATGGAGAAGTTGCGTGGTTTTGTTGATCGGGATCGGAAAATGGAAGATTAGAGGGTAACATGAGAGAATTGGTGGCGTCTAAATCATCCCATACCGGACTGGTTGGACCCCAACCCGCCGGCATTGCATTCAACCAAGCTTCCGCCATTTCATTCCACACCAATTCCGATGATGCGCTCTCCACGTTTTCTTGAACTTCATCGCTTCCGGTCACCTCGCTCGACTCCTCCTCTTGAGTCGCCGCCAATTTCTTCACATCATCTTCTTCACACTGCACCTTCGATGATAAAGACGAAGCTAATCTCTTGCTGGGGGTGGTCGGAGACGAAGAAGCCGAACTGGGCGCCGTGGAAGCTCCTCCTCCTCCTCCTCTGTCTTTGCCGAGAAAGAGCTGGGGGAAATTGAGGCGAGCATTCTCCCCTCTCAGCTTATACGCCTCTCGGTCGTAGGCCATGGCGGCGTCCTCCGCCGTGTCGAAGGTGCCTAGCCAGAGACGTGTCCGGTTTCTGGGGAGACGAATCTCCGCCACCCATTTCCCCCAATGTCTCTGCCGCACTCCCCTGTAGAGCTTCGTAGTATTCAGCGGCTGCACCGGCGGGCGGTGCCCGAACCTGCTCATAAGCATCCTCCCTCTCGGGCTCAAATTCAAACTGTCGTTCCAGTACTGCATCAGCTGCTGCTGCTGCTGCGACGGCGCCAAGTTCCCGGCGAAATACGGCGGGTAACCGAAACTCTGCTGCTGCTGAGGAGAGAATGAGATCATCTGCTGCTGATACTGCGGCTGTAACAGAGGAACGGATCCTAATTGCCGTAAACTCTCCATGGATTGCTGGGTTCCATCGAAGGCGAAAGGAAAAACAGGGCCCGAATTGGAATAGGAAGACGATGATGACGACGGAGGAGGAGGAGGACAGGCCATGGATGATGAAGATTGGTGGTCTGGACTTCTGATCTTCTTGAGTGGCCTATCAGACATGGAAGCTTCTTCTAAAACTGGCCTCCATTGTTGCCTCTCAAACTCCCTGCCTTCATCTCTCTCCCAATCCGCCTCTTCCTCCATAGCCTTCTTCGACTTTCCCCTGTCCTTCGTGGCAGCCATTTCGCCGCTCGCTCTCTTCAATTCACACAATTTTTCCCAGAAAATCAAAAATTGAAGGGAAAAAAAGAAATCAAAGTTTAAGAACAAAAAATCTTTAAAGCCCAGATCTTAATTTGGTTTTAAAAATCTGAAGTCAAGATCTTGGCGTGTCAAAACTAAAAACTTTTAGAAACAGAGAAAGAAAAGCTAATTGAAATCAAGAATTAAGAGAGAGCGGAGAGATAATATTGAGGAGCTGAGAGCGAGCGAGCGAACGGCGTCGAAGGTATCCAGTAGAGAACAAAATTCAATTTGATGTTTGTAGATGAATGGAAAGAAAGCTGCGGAAGAAGAAACAGGGGACTCTGTTGTTTAGTTTGATAAGAAATAGGGAGAGGAACAAGCTAACGAGGCTATATAAGGGTGAAAAACTTTCTCAACTATTTCTTTTGGAAATATCTAATCTTGTCCTGTTCTCGTTATCATAGGGGATAAGTTTTTTCTCAAATAAAAATCATTTCATTTTGCTTAACTAAAACTTTAACTGAGCGTTTAGTTGGAAAGAATTTAAATTTCATTACCACCTAATTCTAAAGTTCACTAAATTCTTTAATTTAGTTGTTGAAGAAATTATAATTCTACAGAATTGCAATTTTTTTATTTTCATGGAATTAAAATCTCATGTCTCTGTGAAATTTTAATTCCCTGAATTTTAGGAAGAAAAAAAATGTAATCATGAAACAAAATTACTCCTTCCTCTTTTTTTTTTTTTTTTTTTTTTACTTAAAATTGATGCCCATAACAACAAGAGGCATTTTGGATTTATACTACTTATACCCTTTCAATTCTCATGTATACCAAACATTGGAATTAAAATTCTCAGTAATTATATTCCTATAAACCAAACACGGGAATTTAAATTCTCACTTTATTCCCGGTAATTCATCTCCCATCAAATTGCAATTCCTTTCCTACATAATTTCCTCCCTCCAACCAAACACATGTGATTCAAATTTTAGAAATGCAATTATCTTAAAACTTATAATATGACGTCCTAATGTATAAAGAATTATGGTTAGATGCCCGCATGGGTAGCTCAACTGGTCATAGAGGTGAAACTTTGGAATAATGACCAGGGATTGAGTCTCACCGGCGGCAGTGTGGGGGGGTTCCTTGTGTGCAGTGAGCACCGGTTTAACCTCTTGGTTCATGTTCAGTTGAGTCATGGAATGCTCTGTCGGTTTGGGGTTCAGTCTTTTGGAATAATTATGGTTAGATGAAAAAAATCATTTCAATTTTTATTTTTTAAATAGAAATTCTTCTTCAAATTATATATTTAATATAATGTAATCTATTAAAATTAAATATTTTAGGATATCATGCCACATTATTTTATTTTTTGCTTATATACCCGCACTCTAAAAAGTCGGATTAATCTAGTAGAGCCCGTTTTGGGCAACTCTTCAAAGGGTGTTGGTGTGATGTTGTATACACATAGATACTGTCACATTATTATAAAAACCGTGCACATTATGTGTGTGTGTATGGATGCACTCTTATGAGAACCACTCCCCTTGAACAATTAAAGTCATCCATCTAAAAAGATATAGTTGATCTGTAGCAATTTGAGAAAAAATACAATGACATTTTTATAAATAATTTAAACTTTAAAGTACAAATAATAATACTATAAAACGCATTAGTAAACACTATAGAGTTCATCTATTGATGAATTCATAATACTAAGCTAAAAAGGTAAACACAAAGTTAAATCATAAATATTAAATATTAAATATTAAATATTTAAATAATAAACTAAACTTAAAAAAAATTACACTTTATACTATTGCTGTGTTTACTTCTAAATTATAACAATAGTTACTAAATTATAAAATGAACTTCTAAATCAAATAAAAAATTTAAACTCTAAAGTCTTAACTATACAATAAAAACTAAATCACAAACTCTCAATGATAAATCATTCCACTCTGTTACATATCACGAAATGCATTCTATAATGTTGCTAAATGTAATTCATTGTGTTACTAATTATATTTTAAAATTTGAATTATTTAAAAATTATCACTTCATTTGTTTCTTCCCTCCTTATTTTAAAACTGTTAAATTTTACTAAATAGATAACTCTAATTAATTTATAATTTTTTTTCGCACAGTTTCCTATTTGATAAAAATCCCATATAGGAAGGCAGAAAAAGATTTAGAAGCATCTGAAATGTCCTTATGGTTGGTGGGTTCTTCTGCTTTATTGGTCCCACACGGCTTCTTTCTATGTTTCCGTAGCTTAGCTTCCACTCTAACCTTCCATGTGTATTGCACTCCATACTTCTTTTTCCTTACGATTTTTGTGCATTTTTTTCTTTCTTTTTTAGGTTGAAATATTGTTATATTTATCGTAAACTATACATTGAAGATAAAATTTAACCTTGTTAGATTAATTAATTAATTAATTATATTGATGTCCCATTATTAATTTATTATACTCATTTCTTTGTAAGAAATTATAGTAATATATTGACATCAATTTTTTGGTACATATTTTTTTTTTTTTTAGTTTTTAAATTTTTTTTGGAGTGTTACAAGAAACTTGTTATTTCATTTTTAATGCATTGCATTTTTTATGTTTGATATTTTTTTATTTTTTATTTTGGATACATTTGATAAAATAAAATATTTTATATATTCCATAGCCCTCGAATTTAAATGACTTGTTCAATAAAGATATTATATGCAACATAATATTCATTTAAGGGCCTCCAAAAATCAAAATGGCTTCATTTTCAACAATATAAGATATACTTAATAATCTCCACGGAAGGGCCACACATATATATTAAGACATTTAAATATTAATTATTTTTAACAATTTATTTTCTACAAACTAAAATTAATATTTTAAATAATTTATTTTCAATTAAATTTGAATTCAAATCCTTTTCAATAACAATTTCCACGAACCAAGGCGTAAATATAAAAAGCTGCTTCTTGGCTTCTTGCTTTGGTGAAATGCGAAGCAACGACACTGTATGGACAGGGCTGTGTATATAGATTTTGCTTCTGTATATAGCGATCGCTGATCCGTACAACAAACGTGGCGATTAATTATTGGGCGGTTGACGAAGTCTGCCAAAGGTCAAAGTCAAACCCAACTTTGGGTGTGTTCATAAATAATAGTTTTGTATTAGATATAAATTGTGAAATAAGTTCTTAAATCATTTTAAAAATTACAATTACACTTTTGAATTAAAAAAGTTTCAAATAATTCATCGAATTCAATATACAATGCAATTAGCACTTTTTTATTATAAATTACTAATAATAATAGGCCACAATTATCATATGAAGTGTATTTTTTAAATTATTGACATTGACTTAACATGAAAAATGCAATTTTTGTCCATGAATGGTTCATTGTTAGCGATTTTAGTCCCTAACTTTTTACCATGACATTAAACACCCTTATCTTTTCAAAAAAGTTGCATTTTTAACTATTAGAGCAGCAAAACTATTAAATTCTATTAAAATTTTTCTCAGTACATGAATATTTTAAAATTTTATTATCTGTGTCCTTTATAAAATTTGAAAACATTGTTCGCTAAATTTCAATTTTGGCACATCGTCCATATTTTTCCTACATAACTATGTTAAAATCATGTTGTTTATTTTACAAATGAAATATCTAGACTAAACAAGATTATAATTAAAGAAAAAATATTTTAAAAAATACTAAAATACCCATAAATTTTTTGTTTTTGCTTTAGGGGTTAAAACTGCAACTTCTTTAAAGAGTTAGGGGTGTATATTGCAATGGTAAAAAGTTAGGAACTAAAACCGCTTGCAAGAAACAATTGAGAGGCTAAAATTGTATTCTCCACCCCCTCACCCCCTTTCTTTTAATGTGATCTTAACCCTAAGAACTGGTGATAAATCATTCTCTAAAATTTGAGACATTTTTTTTATAAATCAAAATAGAAAGTAATATAATTTTGTCGGTGTTTATTGACATACAATATCAACATAAACTCTATGGTAAATATATCATCAGAAGGTGTAAAATGACAAAGTAATAATAATAATAATAATAATAATAATAATAATAATAATAATAATAATAATAAAAGGTTCTTAGTCACTCGAGACAAGTCAAGAACAACACGTATTTAATTTTATAGCGTGCTAATAATCTTCCGATCCGTTGTAGTGTTATATTATGTAGTTCTCAAGACTAATATTTTCTTATTTATCATGATGAATTCGAACATTCACCCTATTATCGAGTGAAAGTAGAATTTTATTAGTTTTTATTTAAAATAAAATTGAATAGTAATATATGAAGTATATTTAAACCAGAAATGGCGCAAGTAGTTGAGTGGGAATTAGAAAATATTATAATTTTTGAGATACTATAAGATAAAACGAAAGAATTGAAATGGGAAATAGGAAATACAAAAGTATGGAATTAGAATATGAATATACACGTAGGCCACTACTTTCGGCGAAGCAATAGAAATAGTTAACGACTTGCTGCGAAAAGTCAAACCATTTTCTGTGAGGGTCGGTGGGAATCGGCACGTGTCGGTGGTCCACCGGTCGCTTCATTCATTTTTCTTCCCTACAATTTTTACTTCATCCCCCCCTCTATCAACAATAATACAGTACTTTGACCCCACCCGGCACCCCAATACAAAAGCCACTTCTCTTTCTCCATAAATATCTTCACGTATCTATCATCCATTATAATGTTCTCAACTGTTTCAAACTTCCCATCTTTTTTTTCGTATCAAATCGTTATGAATTTAGTTGGTGCATCCTCGTATTGCCACACATCTGGCATCCTATATATTCCTCCATCTAGGTTGTTGCTTTCTCTATTTGCTAGCTTCTTTGAACCTTTGGTCCAATTGAAACAGTCAATGAGTTTGCAAGCAAGTCAGCCTCGACCCACCAAGATTACAATCTTTTACTCGAGTCAGCAAGCGACTCTCGATTTACTGGTATTAAAGTCCTTTCACAGTTCACTCGACTCACTGACTTTATAGTCCTTTTATTTCAGTCATCACCACC